TCATCTGTTTTCCACCACATATACCTCTACTGTGACTACTGAAATAATAATACCAAGTGCCCACCACACCAAACTCCACAAGTATTTCGCTACAACACAAATAGGACTACTAAGCCCTGACTAGACACTTTTATGAGGACTACAGTCTTAAGTTATTAATGCAGCTTAATCAAAATCAATTTCAGCTGCTGGTGTGCCTAAAATGAGGCAAGTTCACTCCAATTATGAATAAACAGCCATACATCCATATACAAGACGTACTGGGGGGGGGGGGTCTAGTTGTCATAGAAGGATAAGAAAGACCCAGGAAAACAGCCATATATTGTGCCTTTTCCCATGTCCCTTCCAAATTTCCCACAGTCAGGGCTAATAAACTGTCTACAACAATATCAGAAACATTTTAAAGTTCTAAGTTCTGCCTCAAGTTTGTACAAAGCCCAGGGATCCAATGCTCTGAACTGGGGAGGGGAGCTGAACTGCCCCCTTGCTAGCCATTCACCTCCTCAGTCTATCCTCCCTCAAATGGTTATCTCCCAGTTGAGTGCACGTCGCTAAGATGAGGAGATGGACTGCCAGATGTTAAGCCACAGGCAAAGGAGGACCGTACACGTGTACCCATGCACGTACACACCCACCAGTTGAGCTTTAAACAAAATCAGGTCTTCTACCTCTCCATTTATATGAAAATTGTGCAGACCCAGGTTTAAACATCTAGTTTTGCCCCCGAGAGAGGGAAAAAAGCCTCAGAGTTAATGATCACAAATTCTACTTTTCTTAGAGTGCTAACAGCAATTTGAAATTAATTATGAGCACAAGGATCTTACTCAGTTTCATACTGGTGGTCTCAAGAAAGCACCATAGATTCACTTATGAGACGAAATGGCAAAGAAAAAGCTAGTAGGAAAATACTGCAACATGTGCAAAGCACAAAAAGGGAGCAACCTATTCTAAATCTAGTAACTTACAATACTTGCTAGCAACAATGGAAATGTGACCAAAGCAAATTTACTTGTCTTGCCAACACATAGACAGCCGATGCTTCAACTGCACTCCAATAACAAATAAAAGGCCCGACCTTTTCTGTAGGATGCAAACTGCTGCTCCAGTGGAGAGACTGGTTATATGCATCACAGCTTTGATGTTGATTTTTTTACTTACACTTTTCAATATTAAAAAGTGGGGAAATCTCAGATGCCTTAAAACTTTTTTTAATGGAACACATCAGAAACAGTGTGCATGGCTGTCTCTTTAAAGACTGGTGCCAGTTCGAAAAAATTTCAAATATTTTTACAGCACAGCAAGCTTCATATTTTCTGTACTATAAAGGTGAAAGTCTAAAGTAACAAGCAACACCTTATATCTCCACAGCTGCACAGCTCCCTTCTTTCTAGCCAGTCCTAGACTGATGTTTCTCTGGGTTTTTTTGTGTTTTTCTCCCCCCCCCCTTCTCTAATCTCTGAAGCTACAAGCATGGCATACTAAGGGAGGAAGAGGTGATTACTATCTACATGCTAGGAGTTAGGGAGGACATCTGGATGTTGTATTACTATTTTAGTGGGTCTCTGCTGTTTCGCTGTACGTTCTTAATGTCAAGTTGCTTCCATCTTATGGCAACCCCACGAATTAATGACCCTCAAAATGTCTTATTGTTAACAGCCTTGGTCCCTTGGTTCTTAGTATATAATTTCTAAAACCCTAAACAACAAACGGGCTATGCCTGGGCTCATGCATACAGAGTTGTTATACTGAGTTCTTAAGGGTCCGAATCTGCATGTGTTTAAATTTTGAAGTGAATCAGCTGTAAGCAGTAACCTCTACCCAGGTAGACCTTTGTATGTGCTGTATTCCTTTGCCACTTTATAGTTATGGAATACTGAAAGAGCAATTTTAGAGTGAGCAAACTACAATGAAACTTTGACATACACCACAATAACAAAGTTGGATTGATTTCTGCCACATTTTATTTATTTAAAACATTTACTAGCTGCCTTTCCACATTACAGAGCTCAATGTGGTTTACAATATAAATAAAATAACAAGCATAAAAACAGAAATTAAAACCACAATTTAAGACTGCTACCAAATGAATCAAACACAGTCCTAAATATAACCGTCCTCATCCACCTCCTAAAGATCAAAAGTGAGGGGACCACATGTACCTCCCTGGGGAGAGTGTGCCATAATCATTCCATAATTTAGCTCACAAACCATAGAAAACCCACTACCAAGTACTCAAGGCCTACTTTAAGTCCCTGACAAGTCCCTATGGGATGAGATCTAAGCAATGGGATGGCAGGTACTACAGCCCTACCAATAATCCCCCATTAATGATGAAGGAGAGTCAGAAATACAGCAGAACATAATGCACAACGAAGAATTGTTTCATTACACAAGTCTCTCTGAGGAGTATTTGAATGTCCTGCAAACCAGCTGAAGCTAATCTCATTTCTTTTTTCAACCAAGAAGTTATGTTACCCCCGATTTACACACCCCTTGCCTTCCGTGTTCCATGTAGACAGTGATTGAACAGATCTGGGAAGTTTCTACTGTCAGGCACTCCACTTCCTGCCTGCAACCTCAGAAACATTAGTCAAAAGTTGCTAGCTTGCTTCTGATGTTCTGGAGGACTAAACTGGATTTTAATCTGAACTATGGATTTTAGTCTACAGTTATCAAAACAAGTTGTGTTAACAGAGACCACTGAACTGACTACATCATCACACAAATATTCCGGGTAATAGCCAGCTATAAACCATGGCATTTCTGTACAGTAAACATCTATGAAAACCTGATGGTCCTCTTGGTACTAACATATATCATATATACTAGCTTTCAAGCTCAAACCACAAACAAAAACTCAGCCTAAGCTTCACATCAGTTCCTGTGCTTTCATTCGTTTAAAATTTATGCACATCCTCCATTTTAGTTTATAAATGGTAAAATGTATCTTTATGATAAAATATCTTGAACATAATTTAAACTAAAATATCCACAATTCTGCTTTAAAGATTTCAGAAGGGACAATAAGCAAACAACTACTGCTTTAACTACACACACAACGTAAATGATAATTTTATTTTGAAAGCATATCTTAAGCACATATACATCTTGAGTTCTCTGGGGAAGAGTATATTCATACAGGTTACTGTAGAACCAGAATCTCATATGGTATGTTTATTTCAGCTCTCTGACGTAGGCAACTCATAGCCAGAAAAAAGTCATGATTTTCTTGGTCTAACAATCATTTGCAAAATTATACCCACGTCTAAAATAGTTTTCATTTATTAATGTACCACTAAGTTAAAAGCACAAATTTCCTAAGACTACTGTCTGAGTTTCTATATTTTATCTTTTATCTTCATTTTATAGAACTGAAATTAAAACTGAGGGAAAGAGACAAGAAAATGCTGCTTTAGCAAGTACAGGCTCAAAGAAAGTTAGCTCACATGCCAGGGGTAGCCAACTTCTGTATTCCCAGGGAGGAGGCTCTATTCTCCTGATACGAATACACAGGCTGGAAGGATATCCTGCCTCTCAAACTGAGCCCCTCATGTGAGTAGGATGGCTCCACAATAAAGCTGGCACAGTAAAGGCTCCCTAGCTATTGAGGATGTGTGTTCTGACAGAGCACTAAACACACACACACTTATTATGTACCAAAACCCAACACTGAAATGTGAAGCTTATTACAGCCTTTCCACAGGTGTAAAATAGGGCAGGGACATTTACCATGCCCGAATTAAAATTCAGTAGGATCAGCATGGGTCATATAAAAACTGAATCAGGAACAGATCAAGCCCATAAACTGCCAGTTGTCCATCTCTGTTGTGATCCTGCAAGTGCGCTCTAACAAATTGAGTAATCATAATCCCTAAAGAAATCAACAGGGTTGTATCCAAGAACAAAGACTCACAGGTAAATTAATAGTCAGTACTTCAGGCTAAAGGAACACAATTAGTATACATTTCAAATTAAGTTTGGTCAGTGTCCTTCAGAACAGCATAACTCATACACATGCTAGTGAAAACATACTAGTCACTTTCCAGAGTGCTGCCACATGACAGTTAACTGGTGGACTCATGTCACAGAAAGCCCCTATGATGCAGAAGAATTTTCCTGACCAAAAGATAAACATATTTCAGAGCTCTTTCTTGTTTAAAATGCTGAAGAGGTAGAGCATCCTGAAATACTGCTTATCACTGAACATAAAACAGAACTACCAGTACCTGACATACCACAAGATCTTCATATAAACAAGACAAATCATGCAAACAACAACAACAACCAAACCCCCCCACACACACACACACACTATTTCATCAATATAAAAAGGATATCACAAACTTGGGACAATTAGAACATTTCAAAGTCCTCACATACACGAAGACATTTTGAAACCAGACAGCAGGGAAAACACAACATAAGCAACACAATTCATACTTAAGGACAACCTGTCAACTTAACAACCTGGAAAACTACATCTACGTCACTCATGACACTCATCACACTTCCATATACATGTTAATTTGAAATAGAGGACATCAACTTCCCAGCAATCTGCACTTTTTCTACAAAGCTCTCTCATTTTAAACAAACATTTGCAGAGCAGTAAGAACACAGGATTTTTGAAGATCTTTCTATACATGTCTCCAGCCTTTAGGGAGAAAAGTCATCCCCACCCCACTTTGAAAAAAAAATTCTGTATCAAATGGCATAGAAAATACTTCATTCTCAAATCAAAATGAATGAGCTGAGACAATCAGCAATCTTTTACAGCCATGCCGCTGGATGCATGCCATTACTATATTTCTTCAAAACATTTGATGTTAGCATGTACAAAGATCATAACACAAACATAGGCTTAAGCATTCAAAGGGAGGTATTTCTTCACATGAGAAAGTCTTGCTTCAACATCCATAGTAAATCAACAAGTCAGCATCATTAGAATGAAGGAAGGGAGAAGAGAACACAAATATTCATATTTAAATATGCCAATGTACCTTGTGGAGGTGCCTTTCCTGACATCACATATGCTGCATTTAAAGGCTTCAGCACTGTTCCTAAAGGTGCAGACACTACAATCCCAAAAGCCTTCATCGGCTGCAGGTTTTGCTTGCCTTTTTGGCCTTGAGAAGTATTGGGGAGGGAGGGAGAAGAAAGAAAAACACAGGTTAGAAACCAGATCATGAAGCAAGCCTATTTTGTGTTGCTCTCCGCTCCGCTTTCGCCTGCCTCTTTTTCTGCACCTTACCTAAAAAGTAATCACATTCTGGGATGCGGTTGCACAGAGGAGGAAAGGCAAAACAGACACAGAGCTAAATACTCATTTCAGCCCCTTGCCGCCCCCCCCCCCCCCCAAAACACCCCCTCCCATCCTACCGTGTTCCCAACATCCCCACCACCATGCCCCCCAGTAAAAGAGGGAAGGGGAAAAACATTTCCTCTCAATCTTCAATCCCAAGACAATCGATTTTCACACAAAAACAACAACGACGACTACCACCCACTGAATCTGGAAGGGCAGTGAAAAGGAGGTTGGTGGAAGACATCTGAGAGGGCTTGTTACCCTCCCTCTTTGGAGGGGGGTGTTGATTGTACTTTAAAGGATTGTAGGCGTGTCCCTCCATGCGCCCCCTCCGTCTGTCTGTCTGTCTCCTTTACCTTGTTAAATCTCCCTTTGTCTGGAAGAAGTCAGTGTGAGGAGACGAGGAGTATGTATGCGTGCGTGTGGAGAGGAAAAAGAGAGAGTGAGGAGCCGCCATAGCTGCTCCAACACCAGATTAGCCCTGGCACCAACAGAGAGAGAGGGAAACACACAAACACTTCGCCCTCCTCCTCCTCGCCTTTACACACTCCCTCCATCTTAAGAGCCACTCTAGATACAAAATAGAGCAACGCACCCCCACCACAGCTCAACCACACAAGGCGCCCCAGTTTTTCTACCCCGCTAAACGCCCCCCCCCCACACACACACACACCGGGCTCCTCCTCCTCCCCCAAGCACAATTGAAAACAAGGAGTTTTCTGTACCTGGCTGAAAGGCAAGCAGAGAAACGAGCTCTCCTCCGTACCCACTTCCACCATCTTAAAAGCTCCCTCCTCTAAGCACGACTACTACAAGCCCCTACCCTCTGGGCCTACTCGCCCCATTCTGCGCCTCCCCAGAGCATAAAGCGGGGCGGGAGGGGAGGCTCCGACTGGCACACACGCTCCCTCCATCTTAGGAAAGAGCTCCGCTCGCCTCCTCCACCGACTTCCCCTTCCTCCTCCTCGCTCGGTTCCTCCGCCAGCCACTTTACCTGGTCGGGCTCTTCTTGTCGCCCATGGTCATGGATCGGTGGAAGGGGCGCCCCCTTGCCTTGCGCACCAAGAGCGAAGGGGGCTACGGGGCGGACTCCTCAGACCAGCAGGCTCCGGCTGCTCCTCAGCCGCCGCCGCCGCCGCCGCTGCCAGGCTCTCCCGCTCCAGACTAGGGAGCGCAGCCCCGCTCCTCTTCCCCTCCCAGCAGCCAGGCAGCACGGCTACAGCGGGCGGAGCTCGCGGCCCTCCCCGGCCAATCCGGGCAGCCGGGCCTTGGGCTCCACTGGGGCGAAGGAAGGGGGACGTGCACCCCCACCGCGCACTCACACACGCAGCCCCGCGGGTCCGGGGAGGAGGGAGGGAGGACGGGCTCCCTCGGCGAGCGGGGCGCTCTGGAGGAGGTTGCTCGCTCACTTCCTCGGGCGCCGCGCAAGAGGAGAGCGAGCAGAAGCGTGTCGCCGCCGCCGCCGCCGTCGTCGTTGGGCGGTGCCTGGCCACCCACAAGGCCAGCATGTGACCCCGCCTCGGGAGAGTCGCCCACCGCTACTCGCGTCGAGCGTCAAACGTGTGTGTGTCCCTCCCTCCCTCCCTCCGACGGTCACCCACGGACACAAGAGCAGGGAGCGGGCAGCTTTCGCGCCCCCCTTTTCCCAGGTACGCGGAGGGAAGTGTATTAGTCACGCGTGGGGAGAGGGCATGGTGTACTGCCTAAGTTCGGCCACTCACGTCAAGTGGAAGGAGCCTGCATCAAACTGTCACTGTCGAATCCCTCCCCCCCCCCCCCGACCCCCACTGCGCGCCACGGGCCCGCGTAACCACATGTTCCCTCCCCGCCTCCCACTCGCTCTTCAGCGGGCGGTGGGACCCGATCAGACAGCTATGTCATCTTAACCGAAGTGGAGAATGGGCCCACCCACGTGATGATTCTGCTCTCACCTCCCCCCCTTCACACTTCTCCAGGCCACCGTCTGTACACAAGTAATAGGGAATGCGCATACAACCTGTGAACACGAGTGCCCTTTTCAGTCACTACGGTTTTGGCATTCCCAGTTCACCTACCAGGAGAGTGCACTACACACAATTCTCTCAATATGTCTTTGCCCTTTTTTGTGTTTGTGAGTAGGACAACATTTGTGTTTTCCAGCTTCGGTGCCCAGGGTTGGAAGCCCATATTATTGAGGTATGCATTCACAAGTACTAAAGCAGAGTGGCCTGGGCTAGCCTGATCTGGTCAGATATCAGAAGGTAAGCAGGATGGGTCCTGGTCAGTAGTTGGATGAGACACCACCAAGGAAGTCCAGGGTTACTATGCGGAGGCCAGCAATGCCAAACCACCTCTGAACGTCTCTTGCCTTGAAAAGCCCACAGGGTCAGCATAAATTGGCTGTGACTCAACAGCACTTACACACACCCTGTTCACACAAAATGTTCACATGCGTACATATTGAGAAGATTTTATGTGGGATACTTCCTGGGTACATAGAGTGGGAGCCCCAAAACCATAAAAACTGGAAAAGGCTATAACCATATGTGCACCGAGGAGTCCTTCTTATGTTGCAGTCAACACCTGCAGTTGAATGCATGATTTAAACCTCACATCCAGGTACTGGTTGTAAAGTGAAAGCACTGTAATGTTGTACAGAAGGCTTCAGATTACCAACTATGGGAACTAGCACATGCCATCCTGCATTAGTCAACTGTCTTCTCATGCTGTGAGAAATACAGACCCTCACACATCACCCACGAAGAAGAAGGGAATGCGTGTGCACACACATCCAACCACTCACTGAGACAGCATAGACACTATTCGTCAATCACCACATAAATGAAGCTGTGTCTCTCAACACAGATGGAAAGAGGGGAATGTGCGATCCATCAAGCCACATCTTCTGTTGTGGGGAGAAGAAGAGAAGGAGATTGTAAGCCACTCTGAAACTCCTCCGAGTGAAGGGCAGGGTATAAATCCAACTCTTCTCCTCCTCCTCCTCCTCTTTAAGTATCTTGTCACACAGGGAGAGCAGGATAAAGATCAATGAAAGGCTTTTCACCCCTTCGCAGCAAATGCACATAATGGCCCAGCTTGTGGAACTGTTCTGTCTGCAGTAGCAGTTTGCCTGTGGACGTCTTCTGACCAGAACCATCAGGTTTACACACAGGTGTGAACTGCTTCGACAAGCATCCAAATAACCCAGGGCAACAGCAGGCTGGAACAGGGCTGACCTCTGACAGGAGGTAATATAATGCAGAATGTGGGGAAAACACAGAATTTAAAAAAGGTTGAACTCGATTTTAGTGCAGAATGGGGGGGGGCTGGATTAAAAAGGTTAAATTTGATTTTAGTGCAGAATTGCATGGAGGACACAGTGGTGAACATGGATTAAAAGGAGAGTGCAGAAAGGGCTAAAGGTGGAGTGCAAAGTGGACTCTAATTTGGATTAGCAATGATGAACATGAAAGCAGGCAAAAGTCACTTAGCCTACAATATTATGGCCATGAGCACATGGGACAAGTCACACACACCAAGTAAAGAATACACCCATCCAGTGTGTCACCTATTGGGTGAGGAATGTGTCACCACTATAAAAAATACATCCCTCATTTCTTCAGTGTTAGATCTTAAAGCAATTTGGATAAAATTCTCAGGGCGATGCCTCCCCCAATCCAGATGCTAATCACCTCATTAGCTACATTACAATATCATGTGCCATCCAACCATACCCTAGACCCTGTGCAGAAACAACTAAAAACCTTGTGCAGAAAATTATCATACATATATAGTGACATTAATAGTTCTGTATTAAAAGTAGAGTTGCCAGTTTCTGGGTTTCAGATGGTAGCCATGTTGGTCTGCAGTAGAACAGTTAAATTCAAACCCAGTAGCAGCTTAGAGACCAACAAGATTTCCAGAGTGTAAGCTTTAAAGAGTCAAAGCTCCCCTTCGTCGGACAATTTCCAGGTTTTACTCTGCAGTCTCCAGAGTATGAAGATCAGTTCCCCTAGAGAAAGTGGCTGAGTTGGAGAGTGAGTGGGTTCTGTGGCATTATACCTGCTGAGGTCCTTCCCCTTCCAATAACACCCCCCTCCACGCCCCAAATCTCCAAGCATTTCCGAAATTGGAGCTGGCAACTCTTAATACTTAATATTAAGAAATTACAAAGTTATAAGGTAAAGGAGCTTTTACTTTTGTGAGAGAAGTAAAATCACAAAGTATACAGGCTAAACTGTGGCGCTGATGCCTAGTTACGGTTACTAAGTGAAAAGTATGCAGACGGAGAGTGATTTCAGCTAAGCATACCTTTATTTAGTTCAGGAAAAAGACGAAGGGACCAGCTCGCAGGCTGGTTATATATGTTCAGAAAACCCGCCACCAAGTACACCTCAACACACCCCCTACTCCCGATAGGCTATTTACAGTAACCGGGCGACCATTGGTCTCCCGGCTGAGAAGCTGGCCCTCTGATTGGGGCCGGCTAGGATCCTACGGACCCATTGTCTTTGGACATGAAGCTATTGAAGAGTTGTGCCTGGCCAGCCCGGGCAAGTCCGGGCATGTCAGGCTGAATACATTACACCCCTCCCCCCTTGGTTCAGAAGGCACCCACAGACGAAGTCCTTCAAGTAGGCGGGTGGCTTCTTGGGGCGCGTCGAGCGTCGGGGCTCCGGGGTAGCGATGGGTTCGGTCTCGGGGGCCCTGGGAGCCGAGGGGCCTGGGACCGACGAGGGCGCCGAGGAGGCAGGACAGTCTGGCACCACGGTGGGAGGCGCCTCGGTTTCCTCACGGAGAGGCGGCTGTGGATCCGGT